CGGAACCGAAGTTTCTGCCCAAATTTTTTCTCGAATCTTTTAGATTACAAGGTGACAGGTTAACTGTTAGTCCATGTTCAAGAAGGCTAATTTTCTGGGAAAAACTCGAGCGACAAGTCTTTTGTGCAGCTGGCAAATTTAGAATATACTATGCCTCTAATGCCTCTCCAAGTAAGTATTCCAGAATGTAACTCCCAGAAATGAAATTAGTTCAATTTGCTCAGGATTGGATTTTGGGAACTCAGACTGGCAAGAAGAGCTGTCGCATTCAATTAGCCCAAACCGTTCAAAAAATCCTTGCCTCTTCGCTGAGTACATTAGAGAGAGCTTTAGGACTAATGAACGGGGTATAAGCTGCCTGTGAAACGGAAAAGGTCTAAAATCAACACTAATATGCTGGCCGTGATGCTGAACTGGCAGAGAAATGAAGTTTACAAGATCTCATTGTGAGGATGGAGCACCAGCGAATTTAGCTCAAGTGGTAAAAAAGTTAACGGCAGCTGCTCACTGGCAAGGCAGGTTTACTTACAAATGAGCTAATCGTGAATTTCACTTCCTAACATATGCCAGTACCAATTTACCATCGAGGCGAAGAAACGGGTTGTCAGGGGGAACTGGGTGTTGTAATGCACTGTGTCAGCCAGCCACTTCTAAAACTGGATTTAGGTTTCGATTTGAAAAAATTAGCATAGATTTAATGAAAAGAAATGGAGGCAGTCCACTTCGGGGATTATTGTTAGATGAATTAAAAAAGTTGAAAAGTTGGAAATCTGGCCAATTATTGAAAGGTTTAGGCTGAAGCCAAAGTGCGAACCACCGGAAATTAACACTAAAAATTGCTGTTCCCTTTTTTGGAGTACTTTCAAATTCTGGATTAATAATGCTAACATTCACGATGACAGAGGCGACAAAGGCCTACTTCCACAAGTCAACTAGGATGCAATTAGCTATGGCCACACTGGAAAAAGCTTTAGCCTGTAATGCAAAAAGCTGCTGAGTAAGTTGCTCTCGTAGATGGGGCACAATTCAATTTCCGCCCGGCTCTAATGGATCCAGGATGGCGCCTTCGATCAACCTCAATTTTGCCAGTCCAGACGTCACAATGAACTTTTCCCAAGTAGTAACTTGGCTAATGAATGGACCCCTTTGGCTTCTTGGCCATCCAAAATTTGCCCACTAATGAACACTTTCCGTAAAAGCAGTAGATGAGGCTAAAAATGTGCAAATTTCCGGTACAAGATCAATTGTGTTTTTGCAGGCTTTTTTTGCACCCAATTTTGCTAGTTTTAGCTTAAAAAAATATTCATGAACTTGCCAAAAATAGCAAGATCGCCTAGACAGTCAGTATTGATATCGCGTGTGATGCTACTGGGATGCACTTAGATGTCAGGCGTAACTGCACCGGGTTCCTCGATCCCGAGCTGCATACCTCCAGTTAGTACCTACCGCCTCTTCAGTGTACATGTGTCACCTCTTCAGGGGTCAAATCGAGTCGATATTAAATCCTTTTCTTCTGCTATACGCGAAATTAATAACAATTTGTTGATCGCTAGTCATCAAAAATTTTAAGTGAAATTTCTGGAAGAATTTGGGATATCACATACGAACTCTCCAAGGTATCATACATATGAGCATTTTCAGGTTTAATTTTTTCCCTTTTTTCTCTCCTTGACGATTTTTTGGTTACGGTTACACCCGGCCTGATGAATTCCCTGCTTCTCCGTTTTTTCAATGTTTTCACCCATCCCAGCTCCAGCAGTACTGGACCCCTTTCAGAATATATCATAATCTGTGTATT